TCGAGTCACTTCTGGGGTGTGAGTTTTCAGTCGCATATAGTCCTGGGGACCATTCAGGCTTGTTCGCATATATATATATATATATATATATATATATATATATATATATATATATATATATATATATATATATATATATATATACATATATATAGACGGATAAATGTCAGGGATAGATTATGATATGAGGACTAAATATTATACTGGTACTCTAAAATAAGCATGCAAAATAACCTGACAATAACCCAAAATAACCCAGAAGTCCAGACCAGCAATCAACAACCAGCTAACACATGATTACATAATTACAATATTAAAAATCCTTGGCTGAAACAAAAAGTCCAACTAATCCTCTTGTCTTAGGAAGGACTGCGGGCTGTATCTGTCAGACACGTTTCTTAAGGGTAAACAAGGCTATTGGTTGAAGAAACACAATCTACCTGTTGGTATTTAGACACATTTAACATTGTATTTTATATAAGGGATTAAACCATAAAACACCGTACACTGACTGTAATTCCCGGGTCTGTTCTAGCATCAAAAGATCTGAACACTGTACACAGTCTAGCTTGGCTCTTGAACTGCATAGACAATAACTGGAATTTTGTCTAGTAATTATAACAACTAGTTATATGATTCAAGCAAGCTATTAAATGATTTATAGGCAAGTAAATATTATTACTTGATGCTGACAAAATGCCAGATTTCATATCTCTCTTGATGAGATAAGGCACAATATATTTTTGATAAGATAGTAGCATTGCTGTAGGATAGATTCACTCGTAGCGTTTGCTTAGATTTAGATATATGTGGAAGTGGAGAGCGACGTCACGTGCTGGAGTGGTGGACTCTCTTACACTGTTTTTAGATACATGTATCAGTATTTTGTTCTTATTTATAGTTCAGCACCTCCCTGAGTATCTTAGGTGGCTATTTTGGTGATTATTAGATTGTTTGTGCGGTGTTAGTCTTGGTAGAAGTCTTGGTAGAAACCTAGGTAGAAGTCTAGGTAGAAGTCTTGGTAGAGGTCTTGGTTGAAGTCTTGGTAGATATCTTGGTAGATATCTTGGTAGAAGTCCTGGTAGAAGTCTTTATATAAGATACCCCCACACGTGTTCACTCTAGGAGGTAAACAAAAGATTCTGAGGCTCCATGTTAGCATCCCTCTCTGTTTGAGAGGGATGCTAGGTATGATTATAAGATTAATATTTTCCTCGTTTAGACGAATGTTTGAGATAAAGTGTGATTGCAGTAATTTTAGTACAGATTGATTCTTTATTTTGGACTTTAAAATACGTCACCGGAAGCCCAAATTATGTTCAAAATGTGTTTCAATTAAACCAGCTCCTTGTAGAAGCTTCTAGATTCATGGGGACCCATGAGCAAAGTCATGTAGGCCACCTCTATAGGCATAATGGCGGACGTGACCATTGTGGTGTGGTCATGGATGCAGTATCCAGATGAATGATCTAGGATCTATGATTCTGATGTATGATTCAATAAATGTAGGATTCAGATATGATTCAGATATAATTCAGATGTGATTCAGATGTGATTTGTTATACTCAAATTCTATGTCAGTTGGAATATAACCAATCACAGGCAAGTAGGCCTCTGACGTCATGCCAGACAGAGGAGCATCAGCCATGCTTCCAGCAGCCTCAGTTCTCCTCACAGACTTAGAGTAGGTGGACCTCGGCTGGCCAGTTATACACCTGTTTGCCTCGCTCAATAAATATACAGAAGCGACTACTGTGTCTACATTTAACCCGAACAAGGGCAACGAATACTGGTAGCAGCAGTGGGACCCAGAATTTGTTTTCTGGAAACGAAAATTTAAGTACCCAGCATCGTCTTGTGTTTCACAGTACAGCCGCCACCACCGCCACCGCCATCAACCGCCTCCATAAGCCGCCATCCTGCCACCCACGCATCAAATATTGTGCCAGACCGGGGTCCTGCCATCAACCACTACTCCAGGCCAACGTCTCAGCAGTAAGGGTCAATAATTTCCTGTTTGAACGTTAATTCATCAGTGAGGAGGAAGGGAGCTTCCACGCCAGCCATTTTTGAATCTCGCGCCACCACGTGGGAACCTGCACCCACCACCACCACCACCACCGCCGCCCAAGATGACAGTATCTAAGCTTTGTGAGTGTTCTAGCTACTGAAATCGTGGTCAGCCATCGTCGCAATATCGTCGTCGTCCGAATTTATCTTCGCACTCCCAACATCAACAGTGTGGAGTCCCTGAGTTTCGCGCCACCACCGCCAGGAGCGCTGCCATCGCACCAGTTTGTAAACAAGTCCTCACATGGGCCTCTTCACACGTCTCGTTACCGTTTTTCGTTTTGGCCACTGTTATATTGCAAATCCTGCAGCCCTGAGTTAAGTAATTATGAGCTAAGATATCGTGTGCTATGATTTAATGAGGTTTAACGTAAATATATCCAAAATATCTTATGAATTAACCTTTCAGTGACTTGTTAAATATTGGAGC